CTTGGACCTGCCAGGGTGGCCCCAGAAATGGGCTAATGGTTACTGGGTGAAATAGGTAGATAATCTAGGCTGCTCAGGAACCAACATCACCAGTGAAGACGTAATTCAAGGTGCATTATAATGGTACAGAACTTTGAACCAGGAAGTACAGCATATTCACTCTTCATATGTGGTAATCTGTATTAATCAGCTATTGCTACTGTAGTGCTGTGTAGCAAACATCTACAAAATTTCGGTGGCAACCATATCCATTTATTTTTAGGGATCTGCTGTTGCCTGGTGTTTGGCTGATCTAGGCTGCTCTTGACTGAGGCAGTTCTGCTTCTCACTGCAGATTTAGGATCAAATTGGAGTCAGCTGACCCAGGCTGGACTCTGCTCCTCATTCCTCTCATCCTCCTTGGACCAGGACGCTAGTCAGGGCATGTCTCCTCACGGTCACATTAGAAGCACCAGAGGGTAAACAGAAGCACATAAGGCTGTTGAGGCCTGGGCTTAGAACTGGCACACTGCCACTTCCTCCCACTTATGCCATTGGCCAAAGCAAGTCATATGGCCAAGCGACACCGAGAGCAGGGAGATACACTCCTCCCATGTCAAGGGTATGGATGCAGGGAGGAGTGAAGAACTGGGACCAAACTCAGTCTGCACTCCCTCTCCAAAGGCCAGCACCTCATGCGGTTCAGACTTTAATGAAAGGAACAAGGAAGAGATGGCTGGTGGTTGTCATTGTCGCAATCAGTCACAGATCTTTTCCCTGGCCGATAATTATTTAATGTTCTTAATGAGTTGGCAGTGTTTCCAGCATGTCGTCTGAGTTCATTTTTGTGCTGAGTGCTTTAGGGGATATCAGAAAGGAAAGCCCTGATTCTACCTTCAGGAGCTCACGATCCTTTGAGGGATAAGGCTTGTGTTCCAAGACAAGATGGGCGAGATGATTCTCAACTGTTTCATGCAGACTGTGGAGTTCAGAGAAAGGAGAGACCAGCACGAACCAGAAGAGAATGAAATTAAGTGGAGAGGAGTCGCACTAACACCTAGTGAGCTCTTGCCGCATGCCAGACGCCGTGCCAGACCCTCCCGTGCCTCACTCCCATGACCATCCAGAGAGGTACCAGGATCATCCCCACTTAACAGATGAAAAAACAGACACAAAGAGCTTAAGTAACTTGCACAGGGTCACCTCTTCGATAAATACTAAAATTAGGATTTGTGTCCAGCTCTTCCTGCGATCACCAGGGCCCATAGCCAGCCACCCGAAGGGAAGGGGAACGGCAAAAATAGACAGATGTGCAAAGAGGACAGCTGCCAGGGGGCGGGAGCTGTGGAGGGGACCCCAGGCACGTTACGAACTATAAATGGTAGCAAAGATAGGATGTGCGATTTGGCCAAAGTCCTGCAGCAAGATAGGGTGGAGGCTGGGCTGGAAATTCTGGCTGTTGGCTCTCCTTCCACTTTTCCCAGTATCAGCCGCATTCTGGGCTCTCTCCACCCGTCTGTGCGGCCACGCCTGAAGCATTTCCCTCTTGGAAGAGGTGCAATCCACTGGCATTGAAGCTGGGTGGACTGGCTCCCTCTCTCTATCCATCTCTTTCCTCCTTTCCCCTGCCACGTTCTGGAAAGGGCAGCGTGAGGGAATGTGGGCAGGTTGCACCAGAGATATACATCTGAGAACTGAAGGAACATTTATTTTTAATTTAGACTTAAAAAGAAAAAAGGAAGTTATAAAATATCTGCTCTTGCTCCTGGGATTGTGCAGATGGTGCTGCGTGTTGCCTAATAGGGAATGGGGCTGGCATCGTGTGCTCCTGGCCCCACCAGCCTGACTGTAGGTGGGATCCCTATTCCCTTTGCTTAGCCTCAAATGGCTCCCTCAGGCCCGTTTGGACCCTCCCCAGACTCCAGTCTGCTGGTTTTCTAAACCTCCTCCTTCAGTGAGGCCAGTCTCATCGGTTCTTGGTCCTGTGAGCTAGCATACATGTGTACACACATGCACACACACACGCACACGTCGGTACCCTCTTACCTCCTCTTTCAGCAGATAGCCAGAGCTCACGAACCTCTCCCTACCTGAACTCCTGTTTGGATGTTAGAATTTATCAACTTTACACACACCCAAGTACCTGATTAAACCATCTTGTCATTTTCATGCCCAGGTGTTATAAAAGACATTCTCATACATTTTCCTGTTTGGTCTTTACGTTTATTGTGGTTAGGTATTCTATATTTCTCTTCTCTGGTATCCTCCGCTGGGAGCAGCATGGAACTTGGTGCATAGAAGATGCTCGAAAATAGGCATGGAGTCTCTCTCTTTGTGCTCAGGAGGATGACCTGGAGAAAAAGCCCCTAAAATCAGAGAGTCAGGGCCCCCAAGCCAGGAATCAGGAGACTCAACTCTTTCTCTAGTTTGCTATGAAGCCTTGGGCAGATCACTGAATTTCTCTAAACCTCAGTTTTTCATTTGCAAAATACAGAAAGTAATCTCTATTTAGTTTGAGTCCTGGCGTTATATTAAGGATCATGGTAAGTGACATAGGAAAATACTTAGCAAAATCAGTCAATCAATCCATCTCTTTAGGAAAGCATGAGGAGTCAGAGGTGCCCGCATGGACATCAGGCCTGTGTTAGGGCAGGAAGTTGGGACAGGAGGCTGGTCAGGGTTGACAAACAAGGTGAAAAACTCACTGGTTACAAGTCATGTGTGCGTGTGTGCGTGTGCGTGTGTGTGTGTGTGTGTGTGTGTGTGTGGTACATAGCCTGGCTACCAGTTTAATTTAGGGCTGGGGTTCCTTCTGGAAAAGATTTGATATCGCATAAAAAGATGCATGACACAAGATAAAACAAATTAAAAAAAAAAGAGTAAACAATTGAAGATGAAAATGAGACTAAAGAAAGTTTAGGGAAGGGAAGATAAGATGAAGTCAGGAGTGAAGTTTGGACACAAAATGCGTACCGTGAGGATGTGTACACTCGGCAGATATGAGCCATGGAGATCTGGCTTGACCTTGACAGTCACTGCAAATAGAGACACAGTTAAATGCCCAGTGTCTGCAAGACTGTTGCAAACCAGATGCTCTGAAGTACACTTTCTGACCCCAAAAGGATTCATAAGGGGACCCTTGTTGCATCTTATGCACTCCTGGTGACCCAACACAGTTCCATTGTGCTGCATCTTATGACACTCCTGGTGGCCCAAGCGTAGTTTGGGGGTATAATGGGCTTGAGGAGGAGAATACAATGTCATTCATAACAAACCAACGGATGAGGGGGACAAATACGTTCCCAGCAGTGGAGAACGACTTTCATTTCCTCAGGCTTTGGGAGGCAGGCAGACATGCACAAGTGCACATATATGCGCGCGCCCGTGTGTGCGCACGTGCACGCACATGCTGGCTCACGCTGTTCCCAGCTGCAGGCCTCTCTAGGTTCAGCTTCCTCTCTGTGATCTGGCTCCTGACCAGAGACCACTTAAGGGAAGCCCTGGGTTCCCTATGGTACTTCTCATCTGGGCTGGCATGGGGAATTCCCTTCACAGATAATGGGGCTATCTCTGTTGACTTCACAGGTATACTTGGAACCCGAGAATAGAATTTAAACCGAGATAGGACCTCCAAGGTCAACCCCTTCACTCTATAAGTAAGACAGCTAGAGCCTTAAAGGGGACTGTTTTCTAGGAATCACACAGGGACTAAGCTGAGGCTAAGACCCAGGGTCTCCTGATGCCCACTCCAGTTCCCTGAGTTGTCATAGCAAAGAAAAATCGAGTTGGGAATCTCATTTTGGGGAGAAAAACATAAGATAAGTCCTCCCTGGAGCTATGCAATGGCTTTACATTATATAATTTGATTCAAACTGATATGGGCCAATAAATATAAATGTGTGTATGTGTTCTCTGTTTTAAAACATTTTAATGTTTAAAACATGATTTACTAATGCTGCTGAGGATGTCTAGAATTTGATTTACTGCATAGAATTGAATGTTTATACTTGTTCCTTACAGAAATTCTTGCCAAAGAGCCATTTTATCTACAGGAATAATAAATAAGTCAATATGTGGATGGTTGTGCACATTTTTCCATATGCAGCAGTACTTTGTAGATGTTAGTTTGCACACAAGCACTCAAAAGGTAAACTTGGGAGACACACATGGATCCCTGAAGTCTGGGGTTTGGCCAGTACCAAGATTAGACAATCTTGACTTAAACCAAAAAACAAAGTCAGTGAGTCTAGGTCTTAGGTGATATTTGGGCTTTGGGAATAATGGACTCACACCTGTGTAACCATACTTAGCCATATGGGTATATTTGCTCATTCATTCATTCATTCACTCATTCAACAAGTTTTTATTAGACATCTCTGTTACGTTCAATAGCTTAAACATGGTGTAGGTTTTGCTTCATGACGGTTCAGAGATAACAGATATAAATTCCCCCCAACTTGTATTTGTAAAGCACTGAAGGCCCTTGAAATGATTTCCATTTAACCCCCACAAAAATCCTACTGGATGGCTGGAGTGTGAAGGAGCCAGATTAGCTGAGTGGAAGTGAAGGCGTTCCTTTGGTTTGCTTTTTTGTTTTTATTATTCCACTGCCCACCAATTATGGATATAATACATGGCCACTGTTAAAAAGAATACAGAAATATTCAAGAAGAATGTAAGATATCTATATGCTGTGCTATGGATTTTTTCATGCTTGGAGATATGTATGTATATGTGTATGTGTATGTGGTTATATATAAGATGGGATGTTTTTCGTTACAAAAATGGGATTATACTGTAATATAATTCTGCAGCTGGGTTTTTTCATGGTACACTGTCTTCCTGTGGGCAGCAGTTTGTAAGTACACATCATCCACATCGGTTTATACGGATCTGGCTTGCTCTGGCAATTTTTACTATGTAATTTTTCTTTGCAAAAGTGTAGGATGTTTCTTTTGCCTTCTTCAGCTTTCTTCCTCTCTCTTTCTCTCTCTCTCTCTCTCATTCTCTCTCTCTCATAGGTGGTCGGTCTTCTCTTGCCCAACCAGACACTGGCATCCACTGTCTTCTGGCAGGTAACAGTCTCCAGGCAAAGAGGGGCTTCTGGGGGAGGGCCCAAGTGCTAGTTAAAACTCCCTGCCCTAGTGTCTCCTCTTCCATCCAGCCTCTAGGGAAAGTGACTCCACTTCCTATCTCTCCCCATCCCAGAAGCTACTGGGAGAAACCCCAGGACTTTAGGCCCTGCTGAGCAGGTCCCCAGCAGCCCATGTCTCAGGCCATTGTGTATCATTTTAATCTTTGCATGGAGGTGATGGGAGCTGGGCTGGTGCCCTCACCTGATGGCTCGTTGGTGGCCATCCACTTTGCCTCTTGGCTGCTTGTTCCATGGCCAGTGACCTCGAGGCCCACAGCCTCTTTGACATCAGCCTCACCCAGATCTATGGGGAAGGTAAATCCACCCCACTCCAAGGTAATGAGGCGGGTGAAAAAACATCACAGACCCTGCTCTCTGCTCTTGGAGAGAGTCTGGGCTGTGGCTCTCTGACAACAGTGGAAGCTGTGTGTGTGTGTCTGTGCAGAGAAAGAGGGGAAGGAAGAAAAAGCTGACTGTCTTTGGGAGAAAATATCAGTCTTCCCTTAACAGAACTCTGGCTGTACCCGTGTCTGGGTGCTGCAGAACACTGGGATATTTTTGAAAGAGGTTCAGAGCTATCAGTCATTCCAGGGGCCCAAAAGTCCACCTCTTGTCTAGTAGGTAATGTAATAAGGATGAGGCAGCAAAGGCAGGGGTCCATTTGCAGCGGTGAGCACCATAATTCTGGAAGATGTGACTGTCTGGATCGGGAGGGACTGCTGGGGCGAGCAGGACCGGTGTCTTGGTTTGCTAGAAACTGAGGGCTTTCCGAGGACTGGAGATAATCAGTGCTAAAACTGGCACAGTCTCAGGCAAACCAGGATAGTTGGTCATGCTAACTAGTGGGACAGATGGATCTACTATGAGCTAGTGACCCACGTCTTTCTGGAGGGATGTGGCCTCCTGGGCCTGGGCCTGGCTTGTAGGGAGGTAATCACACTTTCTCTGACTTCTCCTCTCCCCCGTTGCCTTTCAGTGGCTGAACCAGAGCCACAACGCTTGTGTCAACTATGCAAACCGAAATGCTACCAAGGTAAGCGCTGCGGACCACCACCCAGTGGTGGGTGGCAGGCCAGGGGTGACCTTCATCCTCCCTACAATGTGACCTGCCACTCGTCAGGTTAAGCATTGCCCTCCTGTAGGCACATTATTTAAACTGCCAACCTTTCAGGAGTGGCTCTGCTGGGGAAGGACTGTTCACACGAAGTGAAGAAGGCCCGTAAAATGGGAGTGTGGTCGGGGTGGCTAAAGAGATGAGCTCTACTGGCTTCAGAATTCTCAGTGGGCAGCTCTTATAGCCAATATTGGATCAGGACAGCATTAGCCACATGGGAACTGAATTTCCCTAAAGCGTTCTCCAAGCTTGTCTGGTAGCCGACTCAGTGCCCCTGGCCTGTTGGCTGCAGAGCTGAAGAGTTGCTCTTGCGGGTCGAAGGGTCTGAGAGGACTGGCACCTCCTCCTCAGTCCCCTGCACTCCAGGGATGAGCTTACGATGGAGGCTCAGTCACCTTCCTGTTGCCCAGCAAGGGGCTGGACCCCTGCTCTCCTTTGGTCAATTCTCTCATACTGAGGTCCAGAGGCAAGAGGTGGGGAGGAGGAGTCTAGGTCTTCTGGCGGGGAAGGGCTGTCAGTTTGGGTAGGAGAGGGTCTGGGCATTTTCTAACCTTGGTGGCTGGCCTGGGGGTAGGAACTTCAGGGCCTGATACTCAGAGGATGTCCCCTCCCCCCATCTAAACTGTCAGTCCACATCTTGCTCAGATGCTTCACACTCATACATCTCTGCTTGGATGGCTCCTGTTTACCTTAAACCAAACATCTCCAAAATTGCCATTGTAGTATAGTTGAAGGCAAGTTCCTCAGCTCTTTCTTAATTTTCTACATTGCAACTTGGGATACACTTTTCCACAGAAATATTGAGCAACTGTCACATATTGGCATGAAAGCACAGTCGCTGTCTGGGTTGACGAGGCCTGTGAGAGCCCCCAGGCTTTAGCCAGCCTCAACGCTGCCATTTCTACCTAGGAAGTGCTCTGGTGCCGAACAGCCCACTTGCAACCTGTAGTCTTCCTAAACTGAATCTGCTTGTCCCAGCCCTAAATGACCCATTTGGACCTTGCTATTTTCTACCTCCAGCCAGCAATGTCTACCAATGACTTTTCTAGAACGGGGCAGAGTGTAGTGAGCCCTTTGGCCCTTTGGCCTCTGGACATTGCTGCCTTTTGTTTCCATATTTTGACCTGCGCTGAGGGCGGCCCAGATAGCTCTGGCTTCCAGAGGGACCTCTTTTCTCCCAAGTCTCCAGGCTAGGGGACAAGAGCGCCCCTTGTTGGCTGGGGCTGTTTGCAGGTGTGGAGTGTGAGGGCTTTGGGTGCCCAGTGGGCCTGAAATTCTCTGTCTTCCAGCCTTCACCTGCATCCAAGTTCATCCAGGGCTACCTAGGAGCGGTCATCAGTGCTGTCTCCATCGCGGTGAGTACTGCGCCCCACTCCCCTCACTTCCTCTCAGTCCTGCTGCTCTTTGGCTGCCCCCCCAGCATCTGGAGCCAGACCTTGTCTGAGGATCAGATCCAGGAAAGGGGCGAGGGAGACAAGTTTCTGTGGGAGCTGTCAAGGCAGGCTTTCTAGGCAGAGGAGAGAGTAGAGCCTGATGACTCTTCAATAGAGAGAGCATAAACTGATGCTCCAGGTTTCGGAGAGCAGGCGGGGAGGTGAGATGGTGCCTGTGGGTGAAGTGAAGGGTTGCCCACTCCAGCCAAGGGCAGAATGTCTGTCCTAGAGGGCCCCGGGGTTATCTGGCACTCTTCTCAGAGGAGCTGGTCATCATGCTCAGTAACGCAGTGAAGCGGGAGGCTAGGCGCTCGAGAATAACCCACAAAGTTGGCCCAAATGCCAGCTCCTCTTGTTCTTTGTTTGAGCTCCTGGGGCACTGTTGCCTCTTCTCAATAGCCTTGGTCATGTGGTCACATGTCTAGTCCCTCCTGGAGGCCTATAAGCTCCTCAAGGCAAGGGCAATAGGCTTGTTGTGAGTCTCATAGGACTTTGAAAATAGAGCAGCTATTAAGTAGGGGAGATTTGTAGACTGACCATGTGAGTGTAAGGATGGATCCCAGATAAAGGCAAAGGTCAGGTGACACAGTGAGGGGCCTGGGCCAGTGCCAGAGCAGAAGCTCAGGCTCCTAGGATAGGACCTTGACTACACTTGTCCCACCCTTGGGCCCAAGCTTGCTTCTCCATCTGGTACTCCCTAGGTCCTGGCTGGGTGGTCTCCTATAGCTGACTCCAGGGGCGAAAGTCATGTCACAACTTTGTTATTCTGTTCATTATGCAATAAATACATGCAATTAGTGAGAAAAAATTAGAAAATTCAAATTAAAAAATATTCACGTGTGATAATCTTTTTGTAGAACCCACTTCCCTCATCTTTCCCATGTCATTAAATAAATATAATTGTTCACAACTAGGTACTAAACCATTGTACCAACACTGTCATTTACTTCACTTTCCTCTAAAGTAGGGATTGAGGGTTGTTCTGCAATGGCCTCCTTTATTCCACTCCCACATAGACAAGATCATCTCCAAATAGCTGTTGGGTGGGGGGGGGGTGTCCCCATTTCATGCCCAAGATTGCTCTCCTTCCCTGAATCCTTATGTCTCACCCCAAGCAAGAAGCCAGACATTGCCAACTCTGTTTAGATGGCTGGCCGAGGGACTGCTAACCCCGCCCTTGTGATCCCGCCACCCAGCACAAAACTTCATTTGCTTGGGGTCCTACACACCGGGGAGTCCTGATTCTGAGAGGTTGCTGGCCAAGGTCAGGGGCTCTTGTGAGAGAGGGGAAAAGGCTGTCACCTCTTTCTTGCTGACGTCACCTCCTCTTTGCTTATGACAAGAAGAGCCGATGGCTCAGCCTAGTTTAGCAGCTTGAAAAATCCCACTTTCCTTCTTTGAGATTTAAGGGTGGGGGGAGCTGGAAGGAGAAGCCATATGGGGAGAATATTGAGTGGCTCTGACTGGGAGGGGCTTAAGGGAAGGGGATCACTGTCCTGGTGGGACTTCCTCCTTCTGCAGGCCAGGGGCCCCCATAACAGGGACATGGTGTCTTCCGAGGGCCCCGGGCTCTGTGCATCCCCAGTCCTTGCTATCTCACCGAAAGGGCCCCCAGTCATGGATCCCAGCCACTTCCTAGGGTCAAAGCTAGCCCACATGTGGGGTGAGCATTCTGAGGCCCAAAGCCTAGCAGAGTTACTAGAGACTTGGGGTCCTCCAGGGCTCTCTGAGCCAGGATCTCACCCGCAGGGAATGGGGACCTTACACTGGGCTATCATGGCCCCCCAGGGGCAAGTGCTGGGGACACCCTCCTTCCTTCTCCCTACCTAGCTGCAGAGCCCTTGAAGAGGCTTTTCCTGACCATGCCAGCCCACACTCTTCTTCCCCTGCCGAGAATCCTAGAAACTTCTGTTCTTCCCCGGCACTCACTCAAGTTACACCCGTGTCCTGTCCTCTCATTGTTCCACTGGATTATAAATTAACCAGGGACAGACCCTGTGTCTTCTCCCCCACAGGGGGGGGCACAGAGCACTGCTCCATAAATACTTGTTAATTAGATTGCTGATTGATTGCTGGCCTCGGGAGGCCCCTCTCCTCTCTGATCCCTGAGTCTCAGCGGTGGCGGCGTCCCTGTGCCTGCTTCTTCACACAGTGAGGGTCTAACTCCGGCAGATGGAGTGGAGTTTCTGACTTGGAAAATCTGCAGCTTGCTTGCTTTTCTTTTGTGTGTGTAAATTACAAAACCTCCAAAGAAAGAGGCTTTATTTTATTTTCCTTTCCATTGTTCTGTGGAACCCCAGGCCTCGCGGCCTCATTAACTGATCTCTGCTTCAATTAGTGACAAATCCCCTCCCAGGGTGAGCCTGTTAGGAGGAGATGACCTGCAAACAAGTGTCAGGGCCCCAGTAGTTGGCCCAGCTCTAGTATTAATTAAAACGAGTCCCTACAAGTAGGCGGCATGGATGGGGGGCTGACAGGCCAAGGGCAGATCCTAGGAACTGAGGATGAGCTAGAGTGCGGGCCAGGCCCAGGGAGTCCAGCCTCCTCTCTGGACCCTGCAGAGCCCTTTCCCCTCTCACTAGAGTCTATGACCTTGGCCAGCAACCCACAGAATCAGGGTTCTCCCGTTTGTATACCCCCGAAGTGAAGTTTCATGCTGGTTGCAGGACCATGAGTGTGGGGTTAGCAGCCTTTTGGTGAACCCCCTAAATAGATTTGGCAATGTCTGGCTTCTTGCTCGAGAATAAAAAAGAAATTTCATCTTAAGTTATTTTTGAGATCTAACAGTTTGCCGTCTTTCAACAAAGGAAGCCTCCATCAGTCTTCGCTGTGTTTTAGTTTGGGAGTTGGTGTGGGGCATTTCTGTGGTCAGCCCCCACTGGCTGCAGGCTGCACGAAGGTGGCCCATTCATTCGCTTCAGGGTGCATATGTGCCAGGCACTTTGCAGACACTGAGATGCAGATGCACAGACTGGTGTGTCCTTCAAGATGCTGAGAGGGGAGGCTGGGACACTTTATGCTATAACCAGAATTATAATGAAGGTGACCCTTGGGTGTGGTGGGACCCAGAGAGGGGCCTCTAATTCACACAGGGCTGACTCTTATAGGGCAGACCAGAGAGAGGTGTGCGTTTCAGATAGAGGGCACAGCACATGATGAGAAGGAGAACACGACAGATTCTAGAAGCTCTCAGAAAATGAGTGTCGCTGCTCTGTATGGAGTGACAGTGATGAGGTGACGATGAAGCAGTGGGAGTCGCAGAAGCCGGTCACGGAGCCATGCCAGGAACCCCTGCCTGAGTTCAGGGACCCATGGCATTGTAGGTGGTATGGGCAGAAGTGGGCTGAAGAAGTTGTGGGCGGTTAGCAGGCCCAGCAGATGGACCACCTTCCTGGACTCAGGGTCTGGGTTGAGAGTGGACTTGGGGAAGGGAAGAAGGCTCAGGGCTAAAGTCCACTCTGGAGCTGGTTGGTAGAGCTGGAGTATGAGAGTCGCTTCATTCCTGATCCATCCTCAAACCCTTCACTTCAGCCGGGTCTTAGCTAGCTGAGGACTTTCCCTTTTAGGGCCACACTGACTTTCATTCCCAAAGGGTCTGGGCTCTGGGGGGTCCTTTCCGTTTAGGATGCAGTGATGTCTGTTAACCTTTACTATTAGACACCGTAGTACATGGAAGTGTCCCAGGGGATCCCTAGGCAGAACCCCTCCCCCTCCCAGTTCCCATTACTTTCTCCATGTCCCCATGATAGTCAGACAGGCAAATAATCATAATGACTAATGCTTAGGGAGTGCCAGGTACTGTTTAGGTGTTCATCTCCATTTTACAGATGAGGAAACTGAGGCATAGAGGTGAAATCAGTGACAGAGCTGGGATTCAAACCCAGGCTTAATCTCATATTGTTCTGCTAACACAGGACCCTTTTCTCTTCCTGCTCCCTCTGTGTGATAAAGAGGCAGAAAAGCCAGGCAGTATTCTCAGCTTCCAGGCTTCAGTAACTGTCACCAGGCCCCCAGGCAGACAAGTCCCTCCCCAGGGACCCCGAGAACAGTGGGGTCTGGAAAAAAATGTTTGAGAGGCTCTTTAGCTATAACAGGGTTAGGCCCTTGACTCACCTTCATACTTGGTTCCTGGGCCTGTGGTTTCTGGCCAAAGTCAGGTCAGCAGATGTCTTTGTCCCTGGTCCACAGTATGCCCTGCCTCCTGCAAGGCACACTCAGCTGGCTCTGTGGTCCGGGTTTATGTCAGGTATTCTCTGTGGTCGAGGATATGCCTCAGTGTTCTCTGTGGTCCAGGGTGTACCCCAGATAGTCTCTGGTTCAGGGTGCACTTTGGGGTATTCTCTGTGATCAAGAGTGTACCTCAAATGTTCTCTGTGGTCAGGGGTGGACCTCAGGGTGTTCTCTGTGGTTGAAAGTGTACCTTAGGGTGTTCCTTGTGGTCCAGAGTGTACCTCAGGCCCTGCTGGTCTTCTCTGGGCCTAATGGAGGAAGGAGGCCAAAAGCCTGAGAATCCTGGACCAGACTATTGTCTTGCTGCTCTCACTAGGAGTGGTTTCTGGGTTGGAGGGCCCATTGCATGGACCTTGTAACGAATCTGAAGTGTTCCAGAAGGCTGCAGATGGTGATGCTGGCAGTGGTTACTCTGACACGAATGTCAGCTGTGTATGTTTTCTGGAGAGGACAAGTTGTTGTCTTCTCCTACATGGAAGGGGTCTAATGTAATTGGTGTCCCTACAGGTGGCCAGCTGGTCTCTGTGGGTTATGGTTCAGAGGTCGGGCCTGGTCACTAGCAAACAAGCCACTCACTCGCAGCTGGAGCTGACTGGAGTTTTAGCCTGTGCATGACTGTGTCCCATCACTTTGGCCCTTTGCTCCTGTCAGTCTGGCTAGGGTTGCAGGAAGATTAGAGGGTAATGGGACAC